CCTGCCTACTCGTTAGGGCCTCATGTCAACCCTAACGGCGAGGTATAGGTAGCACGCTTAAGCGCCATCCATTTTCAGGGCCAATGCATTCGGCCGGTGAGTTGTTACACACTCCTAAGCGGATTCCGACTTCCATGGCCACCGTCCGGCTGTCTAGATGCATTGACACCTTTTGTGGTGTCTGATGAGCGTGCATTCCGCAGCTTATATTGTAATAGAGCACTTTAGGGTTTTGCGTGTACGTGCAACAACGTACAGATGTCTATCCAGTAGATCGGGAATCGAGAACGCGTTCCTAGTTAATACTGACAAAACACCACTAACACCACTCAGAGGAGCAGCGGCTAGGGCTACGAATACCTGGTGAACTAGGGCGAGGCTACTAGCCATGGCCATCAACTCGTACGGCGGTGGGCATGGCCTCTTCACAGCACGCACACTCAACCAAAGGAAGTTTTCTCTGTTCGTAACTTGATTGATTTGATTGATTTTCCATTCTATGAATGATAGTCCCCGAGGACTATATAAGAAGAACCCTAGTCTAGTGTCGACGCCCCAGCTAATCATAAAGCTATCCACCACTTCAAACTTCTCCCATTACACTAGCACAGCGGCAACATCGAGGAACAGGATAGGACTGATGAAAACACTTAGGAATTAGGTAGACGGCGCCAAAAAACCATAGAATTCATGATACTTTGCTCAAATCTGTCAATGAATGGCACACTGCTAGCACTGTAAACTGTTCCGCACCCCTTCTCTGCCAGCCCATTTTGGTTTGACATGTGACTAGACAACCTTTCCTCCCTGCCACTGCTCTACCAGCCCAGCACAGCCCAGCCACTTTGCCTTGTTACACTATGAATCCTTGATGTTAGGAGCTGAATATTTAAAGTGCGAGATCTCTGTGCGGCAATAGGTATTGACCTTCACTCTAACAATAGACACCGTCTCTTTGATGGTTGTTCAGCGCATATCACGTAGAAAAGTAAGTCATTATTTATTACATTGATCGGCACTTTTTCTGGGGCCCCGGACTAAGCGATCCCGGTATGGTTGGGATTAGAGGGTTAGACCCCTCGGCAATCCACCGAAAGCTTATATTGTGACAAGGCAAGGGGCGTATGTTGTGCTGGCATAGGGGCTAGCAGGGAGGCGATCTGGCTGGTCATATGTCAAATCAAAAAGGAATAGCACTAATGTTGGCTGTGGACGAGAGGCTGAGGCAGAATGGGGCTATTGACCATTGATCCACAAGAGCGTTAACAACGAAACAGAGCCCCAAGAACAGCGACAACAGAGACAGAATAGCTGAGCGAGCATGCCATCGCTGCTGGCGTGCTTAACGAATTATAGTGCTGGCCGTGTGCCATTCTTTACAGTTTGATGCGAGTACTCTATGGTTTTTTGAGACAGTCTACCTATTCCTGAGCATCCTCCGTGCCCTTTTCCGCTCCTCAACACCGCCGCCGTGCTAGGCGCTTACTGTGTTGACAGGGTCTCAAGATAGCCACTGTGCGGCAAACCCACCTAAGACGCTAGGCGTTTCACCAACTGCGCCACTTACCTCAACACCATTGTTCTCGCTGACCTGTGATCGGATGGCGACGGAACAGGAGATTTCAGGAATGTTCTTCAGATTACAGGCCAAAGTGTATATAAACAGAGAGGATCTCTCTGAAAAGCCAGGGGGACAAAACACAATCAATAAGATAGATCCACTCTCATTCTGTCTACAACATATTACCTTAGCCGCTACCTCTCTGTAGGCGGTGGTGGTGGTGGTGTTGTTTTGCCAGCGCCGACCAGAAAGGCATTCTCGATTACCGACCTACCGGACAGGCCCCCGTGTGTTGTTGCACGTGCATGCCGAACCCAGAAGTGCTCCGTTACAATACAAGGCTTTAGACTCACCTCCACCGATTAGATTGCTCCGTTTACGGGATTGGTTAGGACTATAGTTAGGAATAGCGACTATAGTCCCCAGAGGTCCAGGATTTGGATTGGGATTGGTGTGACTATGGTCTTGCCAACGCCGACTTAGCAGGTAGATGTCAATGTTTAGAGGCATCACAACCATCCTGTTCATTGCGACTATATCTCCCTTTCCCTTCTTTCCTGTCCACTTGTGTCAAAGAGCAAAACAGAAAGAGAGCTCCACCCTCTCCGCAAGAGTCTTCAGACTTCATTCTGTATATGATTTACTCCCCAGCTTTTGGGTGCATATCCCCATTGCTTTGTCAGACAAATAGTGGATACGCACCCCGGCACTAATAGCTTAGGGAGGGCTTGAGACGTATCTCTGGGGCGAAATAGCTACGACTGACTCATCTGTACGAGTCAGCTTTTATATCGACCACACAGCAATGGCTCTTCTACCTTAAAGCTGTCCTCAAAAGCCTAATTAAGGTAGCACAGAGAGCAGCAGCACCAGGGATTATGGTCCTCGCTTTCCCGCGGGCAGCTCTACGTACATCATCCCGGCTTCGTGGGTGGCCCTGCACAATGGAATCTCACACGTGGGGGCCTTCGCGGGCTCATTCATGACCGGATGAATGTGTGCCAAAATCGGCCGGAAATACACCAACGCCATCTCGAACGTCATCTCCATCGCCGGAGTGGCGGCTCAGTTCTGGTCCCACAAAAACCTTGGCACTCTGACGGCAGGTAAAGCGATAAACGGCATCTCGATCGGGACCAGTGTGGTTTTATTTAAATAATTTAAATACTTTTGAGCCTTATTTACTATTTAAATAGTCAAGGTTAACTATTTATATTGTAAATATATTTAAGTTATTTAAATAGTCTTAAATAATACTAAAAAATCTTAAAATAGTATTATCTTAACGGATTAATATTCTTCCGGATTATATAAGATATTACCAAGTACTACTATATTTAGTATTGTAATTAAAAAGAGTAATAGATAGAGATATATGATGAGCAGTCGGATGTGCGTACTTTTAGTCACTTATCAGTGTAACAAGGCAAGGTGGCTGTGCTGTGCTGGGCTGGTAGAGCGGTGGCAGGGAGGAAAAGTTGTCTAGTCACATGTCAAACCTAAATGGGCTGGCAGAGAGGGGGTGCGGAACAGTTTACAGTGCTGGCAGTGTGCCATTCATTACAGTTTGAGCAGAGTATCATGAATTCTATGGCTTTTTGGGCGCCGTCTACCTAATTCCTGAGTGTTTCATCAGTCCTGTCCTGTTCCTCGATGCTGCCGCTCTGCTAGGTGTTCGTAGCCCTAGCCGCTGCCCCTCTGGGTGGTGTTGGTGGTGTTGTCTTGTCAGTATCAACCAGAAACGCGTTCTCGATTCCCGATCTGCTGGACAGGCCTCTGTGCGTTGTTGCACGTGCACGCCAAACCCTGAAGTGCTCTGTTACAATATCAAACTAAAAATGGGCTTGAAGAGAAAGTGCGGAACAGTTTGCAGTGCTAGTAGAGTGCCATTCTTTACAGTTTAAATAGAGTATCACGAATTCTATAGTTTTTAGCGCCGTCTACTTAATTCCTAAGTGTTTTATCAGTTCTGTTCTACTCCTCGATGCTGCCGCTGTGCTAGATATTCGTAGCCCTAGCCGCTACCCCTCTGGGTGGCGGTATTGTCTTATTAGTATTAACCAGAAACGCGTTCTCAATCCCGATCTACTGGACAGACCTCTGTGCGTTATTGCAGATACACGCCGAACCCTAAAGTGCTCTATTACACTACTACTGAGGTATGACCGTTATGGCTCAATATCCTAACGATTCTACTCGCGAAGTCGAGCTCGCACGACCGTACTACGCGAGGTCAAAATCAACCTACCGAAAATATTCGTTAAGGAGGGTGACGAAGTCGTAAAAGCCATCTTATGTCGGGAAAGGGGCGCTAATAAGTGTCTTAAGTCGAGTACGAATTCGGATCTTAGTATACCCTAAAATCTTTAAACCACGAAAGACGCGTGATCGAGTTTCAACTTCTATTTGAATTAATATCCGACTCCAGATTCAGTGCTATTCGGCCTTTATGGTCTTTCGAATAAAGATTAGCACCCTTCTCGGGAAGAAACTTTATCGTATCATCTCGATCCTATAAAGTATTTAGTAGCGAGGAAGAGCGTGCCCAACGCGGATGGCTTAACAGAGTGAACAGCTTAGCCGCTTACAGGTGTACATAATAGACGCTCCCCGGAAATTGCACCCTTTTAAAAAAGGGCCAAGTCACGTGAGACCTCCCGTTTAGGGTGATCGCGAAGACCATGGACCTCGGCACATAATTACACTGTTAGTTTTAACGACCTAAGATAGTGGCCAATAATTAGTTCTATGCTTAACTACTAATAAGCGAAGGCTTCACCGTATGTTCAGTGGTGTGACATTGTGCGACTGTCTTCCCTTGCTATAATCGGGAGTCGTGTTATTTCACTTCGATCACTTCACTATTGATTCCAAAGTAAATGAACCAGCCTGCGCTATATCCAGCTATTCACCACCCCCCACTGCCATGAATTATTCGGAAACGGCCCCCGACGAGCGCGGCGCAACACAAGCCGTTCAGGAGAGTGGAGAAGAATCTACTCCTCTCCTGGGGCGACGCGGGAACACCGAAAATGGAGGGACTTCGTCTGCTTTGAAGTTCATCTTAATGTGCGGTTTTAATAGTTTCGTGGCCGATTGGGTCTACGAGGGCTCCCGAAGTATTCTCGGGCCGTACCTCCTGCTCCTGGGAGCCGACGCCCTGGCTATTTCCGTCATCTCTGGCTTCGGCGAATTCCTGGGCTATGCTCTGCGCCTGATCTCTGGCCGAAGCGCAGATCGAACTGGACTGTACTGGCCGATCACCATTGCCGGTTACATCTTGCAAATGGTGGCGGTGCCTTTGCTGTCTTTGGCTCGGTCGTGGCAGGTGGCCGGGATCCTCATCATTCTCGAACGGGTGGGGAAGGCCACGCGGAGCCCCCCACTGAAAGCCATGCTCTCTCACGCCGCGAAATCGATGGGCTTTGGCTGGGCGTTCGGAATCCACGAGGCCATGGATCAGATCGGTGCTTTATTTGGCCCACTCTTCGTCGCATTGCTCCTGAAGGTCAAACACGAAAACTACCAATTCACATTCGCCATGTTGGCAGCTCCCGCTGTGGTAATGCTTCTTGGAGTTGCAGTCGCGCGACTTGTATATCCGCATCCCGAGAATCTCGAGTCCGAGTCTCCGGTCCAAGATACCGATAAACTGCCACGAGTTTTCTGGATATATCTCCTTGCCTCGTCATTGGTTGGAGCTGGGTTCGCTGACTTCCCAGTCATGGCCTACAAATTCCGCCGCACTGGAGACCTTTCCGATGAGTTTATTCCTGTCGTATACGCTATCTCAATGGCTGTAGCCGGCGCAGGCTCCTTGGCTTTTGGTCGACTGTTCGACCGGTTCGGCCTGAATTTACTGGCGCTGCTTACCCTAATAGCGGCTGCCTACGCGCCCTTGGTGTTTCTCGGCCGTGGACATACCCTGGGTATCATTGGAAGCTGTTTTTGGGGTCTAGGAACGGGTGTCCATGAATCCATCATTCCAGCAGCGGTGGCGCCGATGGTCGGACCCGGTCGTCGAGCGTCCGCGTACGGGCTGTTCACGGCCATTTATGGCGTGTCCTGGTTTCTCGGGAGCACCGTTATTGGCCTGTTGTTCAATAGATGGATGCCCGCGGTCGTCATCTTCTCTGTGGGCCTCCAATTAGCTGCCATACCGCTGATAGTCTATGCGAGCAGATTGATCAGCCAGTCCCGGGCATCAACTGGTACAGAGGAAGAGCCATTTTTGGAGCCAAGTGATATCTAGAGATACAAGCGTCTTGATTGCGAACGTTATCCGGCGATCGATCTTCGGAAGAGAAACACCGTGGCAAAAGGATGATCTATCTTAACTGTCTTGAATGCCCCGTATTGCACCTACTTAGGTATCATAATATATCTAGTACCTAGAATCTCCGGAATACCCATCCAAGGGAGGAAAGACACCCGCAACGGTTAGTCCGCCGGTTTCGCCATCCCCCTCTGTCGAGGCAAGAAGGCCACGCCACATCCACAAGAGTGCCACAAGGCTCACAGCAGCGCTCGTGGCAACTACCACTCAAAGTTCCTCCTTCGAAAGGCTTGCCGCCGGTCAACCTGAAAGGCCCACCTCCGAACACGGAACGATTACGGGATCAGGCACGCGCATACATTTGGCGGGCCGCAGATTTTGAAAAGAGGTATTAGACAATACGGCACCATCCCACCGATGGATAACAATCACTTAGCAACAATAGACGCCCAGAACAGCTAGAAATTGCAGTCGCTGAAATAAAAAGGCAGGCCTTCGAGAAGCCGCGGACCGTGAGAATCCCACGAGTGCCCAAACTACGGTTGAAGGCGGCGTCGGAAGCGGATGATCTACATAACCAAGTGAACAGCAGGACGGCGCTTATGTCTTCATACACAATGGAACTCTTCGTGATCTTTCTCCGAGGGTTGCCAAAATTACAGAACTAACGTTCGGGGATGAACAAGATGAATGGGATGAACTTCGCTCAAGGGAAAGCTGGGAGAACACAGTGCTTAGACTGCAAGATGAGAAGTTCCGTGCGAGAATTGCGGCCATGCCGGAATACCTCAAGTTCAATCATGACTCTGCTCCTTGCATGTATGTGCATCAGCAAGTAAACAAACATTCAAACATTGTGCGAAGTCTAACGTGAGGCAGGCTAAGGTATCCGTCAATTACCATGGCTGTGACGATGTCGCGGGAGCAGTCAGCAGGAGGAGCAAGACATGTTACTTATGGTAGGGTTTGAGACTGCTAGTGCCCTGCTAGTGCCTGCTCAAGGATAGCAGTACATGTTTCCGGTACTTCAAAACTTTTCAATCGTGGGACGTCCTATGTGTGAGGGTGGGTGTGTTTGGATGGATGGAAGATGGAAATAAGCCGAAATTTTGGGTGCTATTGGAGACTTGACTCCCAAAACAGATTTGGATCCAAACCCCTGCACTGCTGCCTACCTTTTCGCCACCACAAGCAGAGCATCGGAAGGACCTCAAGTATGGCTGCAAGGTTTACGAGGCTTGTCGCTCAAAGGAACTTCTGGCTAGGTCATTTAGACACCGTTCTTGATAAATAGCGGTCCCACCTCGAGAAGGTCACCTTCGTATCACCTTCGTATTCGATCACATGTAGTCACAATCCATCCATTGGCCGACAGCAGCAGATGGTCCGACAGTGAATGATTGGCCGCCATAGGCATACTCGATGGCGAGTTGTGACTTCCTGGCCTGTATTTCAGCTGATGCCGTGGACGGCGCACCCAAAACTCTGCTCTTACCCGAGTCCCACTGGCCCAACGTGTGCCGCCGGTTCAAAGACTCGTTGCCAGATGGCAACCAAGACATGACGGTCGATGAAGTCGCGATCGCGGCGGAAGGGGATAATGGCCGACCGAGGAGGCGGTCGTAGAAGCGATGGAGCTAACGTCCAAGATACCAGCTGCAAACCCCAATTCTACGACACTGTGGAGGAATACCGGGGGTGACTTGGCGGTGGAGATGCCCGTATATAATGGCTGATGTCACAGCGATGTCGAGAGCGTATGGAGTTTCGTATTTTTTCAGGCATCGAGACCGAGTCTCGGTTGCTAAAGTTGGGGATTCTTCATGATTGTTAACCTCCGCGGCAATACAACAGCCAGCACAGATTCTTCCAAGTCGTCGTCCCATAACCTCACTAATCGGTCACCCGAACCAGACGCGGTAGCCTCAAATCACAGGGTATTTTTCCTCTAACAGGACAATCTCCCACGGTATATTTTCCTCTAATCTCAGTCAGCTTCCGACCTCCACCGGGCTTATCAAGGAATGATGTTTTCGGTCCCTCTCTGATATTGTTTTTTTAATCTTGTCCGAGTGGGACAGTGATTATCTTCTTGTGGCTTTATGCCCATCTCGCGCTCCAAATATTCTGGCCATCACAGCGCATAGAAACCTTCAATTGTTATTGTCTTCTTCACTTTTAGTTGCGTCAGTGCTCGGACAAAGCAGAGGTCCTTCCCCAAACCTCTATGGACAAAGTTCTCCGAGTCCCAATAAATGGTCAGATGTTGCAAATTTGTGGCTTCACGGCCGAGTTTCTCAAAAAGTTGGCTCCAGTGCATTGCAGGAGGACTGTCGCAACACGCGTCAACGAAGACGACGAGGTCTGTGATATAGGCGGGATGGTTCTTGTTTAGCCAACGAAGGAGAGAGCACGGTTGAGATACGTTCACAGTAAGTGAGCTTAGGAGGGACTGTGCAGCTTCTTCGTTGATTGTTCGACAGTTCTGTAGGATTGGATCTGTTTTTTCGTGCCACCAATAACCGCCGTTTCTATTATGGAAGAAGATGTACGGTGGGGACGCCATTATGTATGGCTTTCGGTAGCTTGAGTCGGGGGCTGTAGTGTGAACCTGGTATGCTTAGATGAATGGTGCTGGTTTACTGGCATTAGCCGTTGATCAAGGAGGCGGGTTAGAATCGCCGTCTAGCGGGTTTGACAGTGAGACCGTCTAGGATCATTGAGCGTGGTTTGGGAAGACGGCTTTTACTCTCTTGTAGACAACAAATTCTGACTATGGAAAAATTGCAAAAAGGAATGGCGAAAAGCTCAAGGTGTTCAATTATCGAGGGCGGTGACCGCAGCAGGGTTACTCGGTTCCACAGCCATGCCCAGCATGGTCCACTGAGAGAAGGAAAAGCTTTTGGCACCACGTGAACCTGGCCTACCTTCCCCTACGGCTAAAGATAACGAGAGGGCATTTCGTCATCGAGATGGGAATCCATCTGACCCCGAAAATCTACCGCCCTTACCCATTGCTTGCCCATTGCTTCCTCCAGGTTGTAAATCCATCATGGTCTCGACCACTCTAAACCTGATGACGCATGTTTGATTTTCTAGGTTGACGCGCTAGTGATCGTGCCGGTAACGTCCTCCCACAGCCTCATGTGGTGTCCCGTCATCGATATCCTCTAGAATGCCGCCTTGCTGCCCCGCGACAGAGGTAGAAGTCTCATGGTTGGCACCAACGTTGCCCAATTTCACATCTCATCAAGTATTCTACCCCAGCCCTACGACGTGATTCGACGAAACAATCATATGTGGACAACTCTGGCTTTCATATACCGCTTTCCAAATGTCAGTATCATCCTACTCGTCATGGATGACCCAAGTATGCAGCAAGCAGCCTCCTATGTCAAAGAAACTGCCGACCGGTCAGTGCTGACCATGTCTTCTGGTGGCCGAAATTCCCCACCTTATCGAAACCCTCTGTACGGGATCAGCAGCAGCACAGGACGACGCAAGCCAAAACTATTACACACTAAGTGCAAAATTCACACATCCACTCTGCCAGACTGGGAGCTAGGCGGGTCCCTGATGACGCATTGCCCTGATCTACAGGTGGCACAAGATCCTAAGTCCCTCATATTGACATCTCCATCAACAGTGCTGGTGTGAAACTCTCTTCCCATCTCTGCAATATCACTTGGACAGGAAAAAGGCTTCTTCTCTACGTCTCCCTGCATCAGAACTTCCGTCTCCGAATCATTCTCATTTTACATTGCCCCAGTCAAACTCGTCGCAGTCTTGCAGCTCAACGCGGATCCGGCTCGTGACCATGCAGATACGTCAGAGCCACTGACGGAAGCTTTATTGAGTTGGTGAGACAACGTAGACTACGGAACCGGCAAGGGTGGTAACTAGAAACGAAGAAAAACCAAGAGGAGCTGGAGCCCCTTCGACATTTCAAAAAGTTGGGCCAAGCAGTGACGACGTCAAATACTTCATCCAATCTCAGGACGACCTCTATCAAACGAGCAAATGGATCAAGTTCCTTGTGCCCCGGGGACTCGACGTTTTCTTCATGGCGGTCTAGCAATTTTTGGGCTACGATTGAGTGTGCCATCGGCGTGAAGCTGTTCGATGTCTTGATATGGTTGCCTAGCTCGTCGACAACAACGACAAGGATATCCTCGGCGCTGACTGAATCTGGTTGGCAAAGACCTTGCTGGACGCTGTCAGACGTATGAACAGCAGGCGACATGATGCCGAAAAAGTGGAACCTGGACCTGATTTGTATTCTGCTGCGATTGTGGGAGGGTTCACCGGCATCCACGCATGGTGCCCACCCTGGCTACACGAGGCAGTGTACGAAATATAGTAAGCGTTCACTACACGAGTCAAGCAGCAGTCCATATAATCCCCACACAACCTGTATCATCAGTGCAATTGGACCAGTCCTCACGAAACTGTGTTGCTTGAAGAAGAAAGGAACCTGTCAACTAATCAGGACATGCCATCCTCATATTCGCTTTCCAGTCTGTCAAGGAGTCTCCTGTCAGTGTGGTCTTGCACCGGGAACCGTCAGTCTGCCTTCACTGCTTTTCTGAGGATATTTATAGCTGCTAAGCCCGTCTATCCCATTTGTGAGACGCCCATTGCCGCCAATAAGGCAGCCTTTTAGCCATTTCCCGGTCATTGAACGTTTTCTTGTTCCCCCGCTCCAGCACTGTGATCAAGTACAAGTGTCATTCGAATCTTGATGCCACCTAATTTGGCCGGAAAGCGCCTCTCCGCCAGCGGTCGCATGAAGCGATTCGTGTCATAGGCCGACTTCCCTAACGAGAGCCCTCAATCACGGTATATCAAAAAGTCGTGCCTCCTCCCCTATAGAACTAGATTTATCTCTTTTCCATTGTTTTTCCACACCAAAAGAGCAGCAGAATAACATGAAGGAGCTATCCAACTCCAGGCATAATCACATCACCTCGGTCGTAGGTTTCTGTGCATAAACGACATGGCTAGGCGGCAAGAAGTCATGGGTCAGCACACTGTGCGCGTCGAGGACCGCGAAGGTGGATACTCGAGGTGATGATCGCGCAGAGCCTTACAAATCATGAATCATATGCACATTCTTCTTCATCGCATCCTGCCTGACTGCCGCCAAAAAGGCATAAATGGCCTCCACCGACCATCCTAAGGCCCTGGTGAATAGCGCCAGCGTGAGACCTTCGAGGCCTTGGAGGAGCTGGTAAAGATTCAGTGCACCCACTCGTTTCTGTCCAAGTCAGTCCAGCACAGCATTTCGCGGGTGCAATTTCCATGCTGCCCCGCAATCAAAGCGTGCAACATGCAACGAAGGGCAGGCAATACCAATGTCTTGTCCTTCGGCCATGCGCCCAAAGGCAATCTGAACACCTTGTGATGGACGTTTACAAATCCGGCCTCGCGAACCCAGGGCTCCAAATGCGGGCCAGGAGAAGCGGTCCTTCCAATTCTGTCGCAGCCGTCCAGCAGCGTGTCATACCATTCTTTGACCTTGTTATCGGGAGGTATCGAATTGTCTTGAGAATAGTTGTGCAGGTCGAAGTCTTGAAACTCGACCCAAGCACCGGGTTTCAGATTTCTAAGAGGAAACTTCTCAGTCCTGTGCTACTGCAGGCAAAACAATTGGAGGCTGAAAGAGAATCTGTTTCATGCTTGCTCCGGGGGGCGGGGGGGGAAGAGGAAAAAGAGACTCCACTGGTAGCATTGACGCATCAATCCAGGCCAGTCAGCGATCGAGCCGGCCATATAGCGGGAGTGGATATACTCGAAGGGCTGTGAATACTGCCACTCCGATTCGACGTCGTCTACTTCAAATGATACGTTCGGAGGGACCCTGTGCATCGTCAGAAAGCACACCTGGCCTGGATGAGGTTTCTTACCATTGCGGCTGAATTGGGCTCAGGTCGTTGCCAATCTAGGGGTGAAGATGGGGTCAGAGTCGTCCCCGCGGAGAAGACGCAAGACTTACTACTTGTGCAGTAGGGAACATGTCCCCTTCGAGGTACGAAGTCAGCCTGGGTGAAACGCTTGTCAATGATCACCAACCGATTTGAATGGCCCAAGTCCCAGTCCCCGTGCCAATGTCTAGAATCCTGCCAATGCCCTCCTGCAAAGGGGCGAAAAAGTGGTTTCCTCCCATTGCGGTCAGGAGCACCTCGTGCATCATGTCGTACCTCTCCTGTTCTCCTTCGTCATTCGGAAAACTGTAGGCTGTTCACTCTTTTGTTGGCGCTTGTCTTCGTCAACATTAAACCAAGGACTTACTGCCTTCTCGGAAACTATGATATCGGCGGCCGTGGTCCCATTTGTAATTCGTGGCGCTGTAACTAAGGGAAGTCGTATAACTTGCTCTTCATCCCGAAGTCAGCGGGGAGAAACCTCAACAAGGAAGCATCATGGGGGAATCGACATACAGTTCGTCTCCACCATAAGCAGAGTCGACATCCTCTGCGCCCTCCTGTAGACGACTTTGTCAAGCCTGAGTAAATAGCTCGTTTCGATAAACTCACCTCCACCGCAAGAGCGAGAGCGACATCATCGACGGGTTGAGTGGCCATCCCGCTGATGAGCTGGTGATAAGATGCAAGCTTTGGGAGATGTGGGCGACAAAAGTTTAGGAACCACAAAGCATCGAAAGCGGGGAGTTCTAGAATTGAAATCGGGAGCCGCGGGTGCGGATGCGGACGCGTTTGACGGGCCGATGGGTACTGGCAAATCATGGATACACCAAAGTGACAAATTCTGGCACTGTGCAGATGTTGGGGCTCACTTCGCTCGGGACTCTGGGAACGTGGGCCATCTACCTACCCAGTACTCGGTAGGGTCGAATTGATGTGATAAGAGGGACGCGGCGCGCCAGATGGAACCGAGACCGGCGACTGGGATTGATGTTGCCCTGATCTTTCGGGGCGGGGAAGTAGGGCGAACAATTGGACAAGGACCCAGGCCAAGAAGCGCAAGCTGCATGTTGGCTGCATGTTGGTTGCATGTTGGTTGCATGTTGGCTGGCGCACGTTGGGTAACGTGGCAGCTGCCACCGGAGCTCGCCAAGTGCCCACCCACCCAAGCGAGGGGCTGGAATATCATGAGACAGCCGCCACGCCTGTCCCTTTATCTTCAACCCTCCCTGCCAGACAGGGCGAAGTTCTGGCGACATCAAGTCGAGCACAACATGTCGCCAGGATCATACATGCAAGATCTGGCGAAGCACATCTCTTCTGCGACCGCGATCCTGGCCCAATATCTCGCCTCCAATGGCCTTCCCGACCTCTCGTTCGATAAAGATGCCCCTCTCCACATGTCCGATTTGCCCGAGGACATTCAGACCGCGCGCCGACGCCTGAGGGAAGCTGCACACGAGCTGTACGTGCTGTCGACCGGTCCGAGCGAACATATAAGATGGCTCTCATGCAACGTTTGTTTCCCCTCCTGTGCGATCAATGCTCGATCTGGGGAGGCGCTTTGAATTGACCTTGACAGTACCATGATTGCTCCAGCCTTCGCTGGATCTATCACTTCAAAATCGCCGAATTTGTGCCGCTTGATGGCGAGAAGAGCTTCTCGGACGTGGCCAAGGACGCGAATGTGGATGAAGCTCGTCTCAAACGAGTACTACGGCAAGCTATGACGAACAAGATATTTTGTGAGCCACGCGTCGGTTTTGTGGCCCATACAGCCGCGTCAAGCGCTCTGGTGCGCGACCAAGGAACGCTGAACTGGGTCGGTTATACCTTGGGCGAGTCCTTTCCAGCCTCGGCCAAAGTGGTCGAAGCCACGGAAAAATGGGGCCCTTCCGAAGAGAAGAACCATTGCGGCTGGAATATTGCTTTCGACACCGACCTGCCAATCTTCCAGTACCTGTCGAGCCACCCGCAGCGCGCCGGTAGATTTGCCGAAACCATGAAGGCGTTGACAAGTACGGATGGCTACCACATCCGCCACCTGACAGATGGGTATCCGTGGAGAGACTTCACCGAGGGCACCGTGGTCGATGTCAGTCTCCTTTGCTCTGCTCTTTCGTCATCGATTGCTAAACGAAGGCCAGGTCGGTGGTTCTGTTGGCCATATGAGCATCGGCCTCGCGGAAAAATTTCCACAGCTCAAGTTCGTGGTTCAGGACCTTCCGGATATCATCGCGGTAGGTGAGCCAGCGCTCCCCGCGGAGTTGAAGGGCCGCATTTCTTTTCAGGCACATGATTTCTTCACCCCACAGCCGGTCCAAGGCGCGGACGTCTATCTGCTCCGGTTCATTCTGCACGACTACTCCGACACTCATGCAACCCTTATCCTAAAGAGCCTGCTTCCTGCCTTTAAATCGACGTCAAAACTGCTGGTCATGGACGGTGTTCTGCCAGAGCCGGGAAGCATGGCCCCGAGTGAAGAGAGGCAAATTAGGTATGCTCAAGTTTTAGCTGCCCGAGCCCCTGGAAGGACTGAATTGCTGACAATGCCGGCAGAGTGATGGACCTGGAAATGATGACAAACTTCAACGCAAAAGAGAGAGAGCTCGATGACTGGCGCAGTCTGTTCTCCAGGGCCGATCCAAGGTTGAAGATAGCCAATGTGATCAAACCTCTTGGAAGCGTCAACTCAATAATCGAGGCTGTGCTCGAAGAGGCCTGACGAGCCCTCCCGCGCAGGTCGATGTAGAGGCAAGAGAATGCATCCTATGATAGAGAAGACGTCGGGTCTCCATTCGACCCGATCGGCGCCAGGACTAGCCAGGTATGCCTAGTATACTCATCTTAAGCTAGCTGTCCACTGCTTGCTGAATTTACTAATCTATATTTTGAGATCGTACCATCACACTGTTGACTCATCGGCAGAACTCTTGCCAGCCCTTGCAGTCGAAGAATCCTCAACCCGCACAAAGTGGAGGTTTCCAGCCACCAGGTTCCCAGAGATTGGTTGAGCACCATATCCTTTCATCACTTTCTGGCCCAATGACGAAGAATTCGCCCTTCTCGGGGCCCGTACGGGAAGTAAGCTGAACGAGCACTGTCCTCCTCGCTCTGCGTTCATTCGAGTTACTCCCTCTCTGACCCGGCCATTTTGAATATCTTTTGCTACCTTCTGGAGATTGGCAATAGGCAGCTAATGCCATCGAGTTCCCGTCCGTCGAGGGTAAAATTCAGTCCACCTTCCAAAAGGCAATAGCAATCGAGGAGACCACCAGAACCGACAACACCAGGCTGAAAGCAAGGGTTGCCAGCGGTGAGACGCCGATCTTAGACACCAGAAATTTGCCAATGTCCTTTGGCTCGTCGAAGCGCCCTGGCCAAACGGCGTATGTTCGTTGCAAGAACAGCGTCTCTGAGAGAAGAGTGTGTAGAAGCACGAAGAAGCCAATCACCGCCAAACTATATCGAAGTGGAAACTGCACAAAATAGGTGCTCCGCTGATCCATCTCTTCCTTTAGCATGCTAGCCCGCAACCCGCGGCGTTGTGTCGACAACGAGCGGAACTCCAGTGCGATAAAGATCCTGGTGAAGAGGTTGTTGTATGCAAGATACAACACACTCAGGCCCAGATGCGGCAAATTCGCTAGAACCGCGCCGGTGATGTAAGCCCTCGATGGCGTGTTGGCCGTCGCGAAGCTTATGAACATGTTGGCCTGTTCGGCGGTATACAGCATTGGCGCTGTTCCAGCCCAGGATCCCAGTTCGTCCAGAATGAAAATGGGACTCCCGCCTCATGGTATGCTTCCTGACTCTGCTGATACGACCACCCAAAGAACCATAATCCCGAGGTCAGACAAACAAGACTTCTGCTCTGCAGTCAGCGATCCTATATTTATCTGAGCAGACTTTTTTTTTCTGTTGCACGCTTACATGAACTTGGCTCCCCGCCATGCCCCACCTATCTCATCCGCAATCATTCTATCCGGCGAACCGCATAGATGAGGCCTGTTGATGGATATCCTCTTTCTGCCGGGAGCAGGTGGCCCGAAGTGAGATGATCCTGCCATGCACAAGCGATGCACAGTGGTGCCAGGCCCGCGGAGGAAGGAGTCGACCGCATCACCGATCGTGACTAGTGGTTGGGAGTGGCTGAAGAACACTGCCACTATCATGGCACAAAGCTTTTTCCACGATACATGACAATACCACAATCATGATTGCCAGACTCATGTTGAGTTCGCAGACCTCTGGAAGCTCTCGTGCCAGGCAATGATCGATGACCCGGTCAAAGACAGTCCACATTCCATTCTGCAACAACCGAGAGGTATCGCATTTAACGACATTGTTCACCTCCTTGTTAGTGTTGTAGTATAGCCACGGCCATGGCTGCGCCCCTCCTGCATACTCAAATTCAGGCTTGCCTTTGTTCCAGGCAAATCCGGGCTGATTTGTTAGTAACCGGACAAGATCCCCATTGTATGTCACCTTACCGGCTAGGACATCTGTTGAAGTCATCAACAGAACGTCACCCCAGACGGGACTTGATCCGGAAGAATACGTTTAGATACATTCCTCTGGACTTAGTCTAGTAAGAGGCGGCTTCTGCTCATTCAGCCACCATGCCAGATATCTCGAGTTCGTGTCATAATAGCCGTTGTCCTCGACGCAGGAATGTTAGTGAAATTCCGTGTCGCCTCACGCACGGTCGAGTTGGGGGCGGCGGAAGATGCAGGCTCAACCGCGGCCGCCAGCAAGGAAAAGCTAGACCACTCTGCATTCGTGGTACTGTATACGACAAGAGAATTGAACATGAGGTGGATCGGCAAGGAGCTTGACCAGAGCAGCGCGAAGACTACCAGTCGGCGCCTGCTGAGCAGAGCAAAGTTGAACAGGGATAGGGTGCCGACATTCAGCGTCTTGCCTTGCCAACGGCATGTGCTCTGTCGATGTCTTCTCGAGTCAGAGCAGCCAATCTCTGCATCATATAAGATGATTCAGCAAACAAGCTCGACGCTGGTATGTTGATCAGCAAATGGATCCAAAAGTTGGCACCTCTGACTGTAGAGCAGTCACCCGTGAACAGCGTCACTACCAGGCCATCTCCGACGTTGTGAGAAGCAACTACCCAGACACCAACGATAAATGTCACCACAAATATCGATCCCGCGTTGTACAGGCAGAGCTTGTAGCCTGTTTTCAAAGAAGGACGGATCTGGATCCGTTGCTTCCGGTTGACTTTGGATTTGTCGTCGGTTAGAAGCGTGTACCGATAATCCCAGAATTGCCTCCCCATATACTCTTGCTGGATAGTTGATGCCGCGGATGATGTTACTAGTTGCCGACTCCACGATTCCTGCCATGGCGAGCGTTGACGATTGCTTCGCATTGCTCTCGGCGTGCGAACTGAGCTTCTGACGAGGATACAGAGCCGCCACTATCGGCCTCTTTTGCCATCTAACCGTTTCACAATCTTCCGAAAGTCACGCAAAGCAGCCCAAGTTCTATCTACCCCGTGGACAGAGAGATTGTGGCAGATCTTGGGGCTCAGCAACTCCCTGGCAGGCCTTAATCCAGGTCGTTCTGAAGCTGATTGGTTTTATGGCGGCCTTGGTCGCACTCACTGGTCAGTCGAGCATATCAACCAGGTTTGAGATCCACGGGGCCGAAGCTCCAGGGCAGCCCTACCTCATATGTTGCATAACCTGGCATCCCCGCCGATCAAGCCCCGTTTCTTGCCCGGGGCGCTGAGTCCTTCCTGTTAGTCATGGAAGGACGACTCCCGATGACAGACACTTCGCAAGACCTCTACCTCCCCAAAGAAGTATGCGACACTGCAGCGACTATTTTGGGGGCGACTTTTGATGGGGAGCGAAACCTATATCTCTGGGATAAGTCTGCTGATGACACGATCTTTCGCGTACCAACCTTTTTGGAATTGCAACTCGGCAAGTACGATCCTTCCGACGCATAATTCTCCCTCTCAGAGATTATGCCCGATTTGTCGGTCAAGATTCCAGTGGCACTCTTGCAGCATACCTTTCATGCGACAGTTAAAGCTGAGACTGGAACACTTCTGCGCCCAGCACGTCATTTCCCTTGCTCTCCAAAGGAATTAAATGTATGGGATGACTACGATTCAAATACACTCGGCTGGCTTTCTTCCAGGCGGCGTTCGTGGGCACAAGGTTGGCCGATGATTTCCCTTGTGATCTACCACAATTGTGGATTGCCCAGGCACCCTGGACCATCAGCCATAGCCGCAGCAGACATCAAGGTTGCTGATAAGGGGTCCATAGCAAACAGGACCAATGTTACCATCGACCTATACTACTGGACGAAAAGCTGGACAGGAATGACCAGATGCCAGGCGATAGGCATAGCTGTCGGGGCTACAATTACGTCCGTCCTCGTTTTGGGGTTAGCATGCTGGTGTTGTGTCCGAGCGGCCAAAAATCATGACACCGATGGAAGCAAATCCAATGAGAGATGGCAGAAGAGGACAGGCTGGTTAGAGAGCTGGAAGGGAGAGGCGTCCAAGACGCGTTAGGAACAGCATCTCTTGGCGATGAAAGCTGCCATGACGAGCCTGATACGCGCACAATGCTGATGACGGAGACCAGGCACAAACGGAGAACGACTACATCGCCCTCGTGCCACGGATCTCGGATGTTTATGGAGCGAGTGGATCGATCTCCTATCCAGACATGAAGCGCAGCCGCCCGCAATGGGCGCTGATTACGAGACTCGGCAGTGGAAGCACTACCATTAGTGTAAGTGGAATCTTGTGAGATGATGAAGACCATGACTTTGTGGCAACACATGCTCTCGTTTCTTGCACCCAATGCGTTTTTATCCGAGTCAAGAGCATTTACTGACTACTCATGAAGGTGACCAGTTTCAAGTTGGCGTTTCCAGCGAAGAACTATGTCTTTTCCCCTGGTTTTGACTTGACGGGTGCGGCCATTGAAGGTTAAACTAAAGGTTGGAAAGTCACGTGATCCAGCCCAGCCACCCAGTACTGTCTATATAGTCTACCGTAGTCCCCGTACTGAATAACGGGGGACAACCTTTTGATCATTCAACATTGAATGCCTGAGAGAGTAGCGATGCTGCAGAGGAGGCAAGACGAAGCTGCTGAGATCATGGGAACATACCTGCTGAATTTTGGTTTATGTCACGGCGCTAGGGTGACTCGCCCATTGAGGCTTGGTTGGCCACACTCTTCTTCAGCCAGTGCCTCTCTCTCTATACCGAATACTTAGACTCTTCCGTACTGGAACTTATCATCAATGCTACTGTTGATACAAATTGCTTCAACCACTGTTGCCGTGATATTGACATACACTCGCATTGGCTCAGCTCAGGTGCCACTTCGAACCCCGGGCTCAGGACGTCGATTTCATTATGTATTGGACGCAGACATATCACGAACCGGGAGGATCCTTCAACGAAAATTCACGAAATAGTTATCATTAGCGAGAAAGAAATCCACCGTCTTACTTCACCGAAAACAATCGGACAGCGACGTTAACGCACCCAGCCCAATCACAGCCCTTTACCAAAATGCTGAGGGAGGAGAAGAGTCCTACTTATCGAGACGCGCGTGTTGGAGTGCGACTAAACGCTACGGGAAGCTACAAGGACGAATACGAGCTACACACGAGGAGGTGACGACTTGGCTCGCTTGCGAAGTACCAATATTTTCCCATTGGCATGTCAATCTACTTTCTTGGGCAGTTTCATCTGCGACGCTTTCCGCGTAGATCCTAATCTGGGCGCATCTGTGTCACTGTCCGAGGCATACCATAAGCTCCTTCTTCAGCGACTGCAAAAAGTACAGAAGAGCGCGCATGCATCACTTGCCTTCGTGGCAGTGCCGGACACGTCAAAAATCTCTATTCTTCATCGACGAGGATGGACGTCATTCACTGCTCTTTCGGCGCCAATTGTGACAAGGAGCTCTGTCCTCCAGTATCCAGTAACCGTCGTCCGACTAAGCTATTACCTGCTTTAGTGCATGCGAGAATAGACCGAGGTGCGTCAGGAGACAGGGTATCATTGCTATGCTCAGCTGCCAAACCAAAATTCGGTAGGCATGTTCCCATGATCTCGGCAGCCTCGTCTCGCCTCCTCTGCAGCAGCACTTCTCTCTCTCGCAAAACTCTTGTCATTATCACCTCGGGTGCGCTGCGACAGAGCCGCTTGAGCGCTGCTACCACATCCCGAAATCCCTGACAGCGTGTGCTTTCAAATTTGCACATTTCGCTATGATTTGCTGCAATCCCGCATCTTTCGGTGTTGTCCAGAATCGGAGCTGCGCTGGCTTCTGTGACGATGTAATCGATCAATTTCAAAATCTTGACCTCTGTACGCTCCTGTTCCCAGAAAAAAATGATTCGGAAGCGGGATATCAGGGGGCAAAATTGATCGTTTATATCTTGAAGAGTCTCCGAGCCTTCTCGAAGTGCTTTGATTAGGTTGGATTCTGTATTTAGGACGCTGCGTGGAATGGTGACGGATGCCATCTTTTGAATGACCGATCCGAGATTGGCTTTGCTGGAGCCGTGATGCGGCGTGCCGAAGAAGAGGATTCCGTAGGTACAGGTGTAGAGGGAGTGGAGGAAGGAGATTTTTTGGCCTGTGCGACTTGCAGAGTAGGCTAATGCCTTGAATCAGCAAGTTCCCACATTAGCTGATGTGTTGTTTCAAAACCTGTCTCTGAAGTGTCTTACCTTTTTGACAACGATACCACCCAGCGAATGGCAGAGGAAGATTATCGGCCTCTCTGCCGCATCTTCTAGCTGCCCAAATTGTCAGTCCAGATGTCTCTACCCTAGTTCTTTGCGTAGGATACCTCTCGGTCAGCGTTGAGCTGGGAGACAAGAGTGTGCGCATGATGAAGAATTCGATCCTGACTTGTTGATTTCCCTTTCAATGTCGAAATATTTGCATTGTATCCCCAACTCAAGATTCGAGCACGGGGTAGATATTTCGGCAAAAAGTCAGGGTGGCTAAGCCACGACGTTTGGGTGGACTTGGAGGTCCATGTTCCTCTGGCGTCACCGTTAAGACCGTGGACTGCTACAATGCTAATCAATTAAATGAGCATTGGTGAATTTTGGGAGGAAGCGAACCCACTTACTCAACGTCAGCAATTCCATCGGTAGGACGATAGAGCTCATGAATGCCAAACGTCTGATTAGGGTTGCCGGACTCCATTCTAAGGTTCATCGGATTTACCTGAGAACACCTCGACCACAAGGGAGGGTCTCTGCTGTCTCGAACTCTATATACCGCATTTGCAAAACTAAGCGCCCGCCAAATATCTTCAAGGATCGAACAGTTATCCTTGCCCGTCCAGCCACAGCGTCCTTAGCGCCTTTCCGGTAAGGTTGCGGGAGGCCAGCGTCACGCCGGTTTCAGACACGGGCTGGCCCTTCCTCCCTTGCACATCGCCTTGTGGCCTGCGGCTAGCCCGTTCATACTTTCCCCCCTATATAGCGGAAGCCCCAAGGCAGGGTTGCCACATTCTATTCAGGGTTCAGCCTCACTTTACATCCCTCTGCCGGGGCCAAAACCAAGGTCAGTCTTTGCTTCTCTGAACCAATCAAACCAATATCCTCATCTTCAGGTAATTTTATGCTCCTGGTCGCCTGAATCAGCTCACAATAGTGTATGAGATTTCCATGAGCGCAAAGTCTTCTCCCAGGCATCGCCTCGGGCCCCCATTGAAAGGGAAGTATGCCCATCCTATGTTCGTCAGCTCGCCAGATTCCCAGCGATCTGGTCTAAAATCGTGTGCGTCTTGGCCATATATGCTCTTCACCCGTGAGTTGACATATTGCGAGAAAACGACAAGTTCACCTTTCCGGACGAGTATAGGATCGAGACCTTCGTCCCCCCCGCCAACGGGAAGAATAGTTGTCCTTCTAGCGGTTCTGTTGTTCAGAGGTACAGGTGGATAGAGGCGAAGGCCTGTGTTACAATTTGTTGGCGTCGTACGGATTTGATCCGAGATTTACTTACTTTCTTTGATGACACAGTCAAGATACGGCATTTGTCTGAGTTGCTCTCTCGTAGGGAATTCGGAATCTTCCATTACCTGAGATATTTCCCGCCGAAGTCTGTCCATAGCAAAAGGATGACGTACGAGAAGACGCCTAGAGGACCGAAAAAGGTCAACGGTTTCCTCAAGAAGGGATGAAGAGAACATACAATGTCCACGACAAGCAGCAGGCAGTAGTGTCTCTGCCGGCTAGCAAAATGTTGAGGAGCTGATCCCGAATTTCTCTGACACTTTCAGATTCGGAGGCAATCTGATCAATGAAACAGCTTATCTCTTCTTGCGAATTGACTTTCCTTGCGTGTAGATTTCTGGTCTCGATATAATGCTCGACATAGCGATGGACATTTTTGCAAGCTGTCTTGAATGCTGGAGGGTTATATAGGAAGTGCCAAGGCGCAATCCGGAAGCGTTTCGCTAGCCCTTCTTGAGCGATATTAAAGCTCTCCGCGAAGAGCCTGTTCTCGGCATCTTGATCGATGGATGCGCGAAGGCTATAAACTGATTTTCCGAAAAGTAGCGCAGTCGTTGTGTCCAAGGTTAAGGAGAAGAACAGAGGCTGCAGATCGATTACTCCCGAAGGCGGAAGGTGAGCGATGAGATTATCAACATGTTCTCTGAATTGATCCAGATCTTGGTAGCGTGCTCGAATGAATTGTTTTCGGAGAAGCTCTCGCGAATGTTTCCATGCATTTCCCTCTTGAGTGAAAATTCCCTTTCCGATGAGAGGCGCAAACACTTCGGCTCTACACCCAAGTCCAAAATCTTAGGTAACCTTTAGTTTGACTTCAAGAAGCGCATTTGGAAATAGCTCACCCTCAAAATTAGTTGACAGAACTACTTCCAGGTTCGTCGGATGCAGTACGTGAAAGGCTCGAGGGCCGAATAAGAGATATTGGCAGAGGTTGTTCCGAGGTTCATAGTCTTTGGCCAGCGAGCAAAGAAATGCAAGTAGATGACCGCGTGAGTTGGAGACCCAAAGCTCTCTTATTCTATCAATACCGAGAGGTAGCTTCTTTGGTAATTCCGGAGGAAGTTTACACCCATGACGACGGCCGAAGATACTGTCATTCTTCGCAGCTTAGCAGGGAGCGATTGAGGGAGAATGTGTAATCACCTGATATTCAATGATTCGCCTACATAGATGATAGATGAAATATACAGAGAGCAGAGACAAATTTATTAACAACGGAGAGTATTCGTACATCATTTTTGTCCAGACCACTGGTCAGAGAAATTCTGAAGAGGTTTGGGGATTGGGAAGTTCGCGGATCAGACGAAAATAGTGCCAAGGTTTCGGAGCGTCCCGTGGGCGCTAGATGAAACGCCGTGGCTAATAAATTAGGGGGTTCACAGCCGCCGCTTCTTGCCAGACCGTCACCCTTTGCAGGAGCGAGACGACATATTTGATCTGCTCAGACTCCTGCGGTATATTCTGACAGCTACCTAGCGAATACTCAGCATCAGCTATAAGAATATCATGATATTGAGATTCATTCCGACCCTCCTTGCTGCTTTCAATCAAAATGACTTTGGATGTTCTTTCCCTCCCAATTTGTGATTCATCGAGATGCGAGCAGTGTCAGGTTCAAGGAAATCGACCTGTCGAGTAAGAGGTGACCCCTTTCTCCATCTTGGCTCACACTGATGGTCCCTTCAGCGTCGTTGCAGTCCATGGGCTGGGCGAAACTTGCACTACTGCTTGGACTGACACCGATACGGGCGTACTGTGGCTGAGAGACCTGCTTCCTCAAGATCTACACGTGGCACGGGTTCTCTCCTTTGGCTATAATGTCGCTATCTCATCATTTTTTGGTGGTAGTGAAGTTCTTGAGGGTATTGCAGAGACACTTGTGCAGAATCTGGAGAGTCATCGTGCTCTTGATGGTGGCCAACAAAGACCAATCATCTTTATCTGCCACGGTATAGGGGGAACCATTGTCAAAAAGGCTCTGGTCTACTCTTCAACGCGGATCGCGCCACACGTCCAGCATCTGTATACTGTTTTTGTGTCGACTTACGCAATATTGCTTTTCGGCGTTCCTCACGACCACCTCGTGAAGTGGAAATGGCTAGAACTCGAATCATTTCTTCGGCATTCGAAGGGACTGTTCAAGGGGCGCCAATCCAAAGGGCAAGACGATCAAATCTCTGAGGGACAAACCCTAAGAATGGCTGAAGTTGCGTTCGCGCCTCTTTTGAAGCAGTTCCGGATCTACTTCTTCTGGGAGTCGGCTGAGACAACGCTAGGCAAAGTTAGGGATGTAATGGTCGATCAATCATCAGCAGCGCCAGCAATAGACAACGCAGAGCGTATGGCTATACCATCTGATCATCTAGGAATGGTCAAATATGCTAGCTCAAGTTGTCAAACATATCGCTCAGTGCTTGGAGCTTTAATCCGGTACTGTCGAGAAGCTTCTTCCCTCATATCGCATAGATGGAAGCTAGCGGAAGCGCACATGTCGCGAGCACGCTCAAATGAAGCTTTCGAGCTCACGGGACTGGTATATGATATCCAGGATACGGAGCGCACAAAAGATGGTGCTGTGACAGGTATCAAAGCTCCCAAAAAGCAAATTGACCTGCCTCGTCGCCCTTTCGTGTATTATGTGGGGCGATCAGGAATGTCTCAGGTCTTGGAAAAAGCATTCTTTTCAAGTCCGGGAAAATTGCAGAAAGTTTTCGTGCTCTGCGGAATGGGTGGTGCCGGTAAAACTGAGATTTGCATTCAATTTGCTCGTGACAATCAACATCGGTAAGGAACATGCTGAGTATTGAAAGAAAATTAACTCACAAACACCAGTTTCTCGGCTATCTTCACCGTACAGGCCACAAGTGCACGGCACATAAAAGAATCATACGCCAAAATTGGGGCCTATGGGGGCTTGGAGCCTACAGAAAGATCGGGAAAATACTGGCTAGAACAGTCTGAGGAACCTTGGTTACTGATAGTCGACAACGCCGATGATCCTCACCTAGACCTTTCGACCATACTTCCTCTTGGAGACCATGGGTCCATCCTGGTCACAACCAGAAACCCAGAGCTCAGAAAGCACAATACCATTGGTTACCGCCATGTTGGTGGATTATGCAGGGAAGAGGCGTTGGCCTTGCTATTGAAAAGCGATAACATCAGAGGCCCTCCATGGCAACCCGTAGTGAAGATTACTGGGCACCGAATCACCAAAGCTCTGGGGTACTTGGCTTTAGCCGTGAAAGCAGCTGGGGCATCGATCTATCGAAACGTCTGCAAGCTACATGAGTATCTTGACTTCCACAACGATTTCCGAAGTCGATATCATTCCTTAAGGGATGTCGAAAAAAATTCACGAGAGAGCGAAGCCAGCGTCTATTCTGTATTTGACATTTCGCACAGATGGCTCCAGAACCAAGAATCAACTGCCGCTTGTGACGCTCTGGAGATTCTCAATGTCGTTGCGTTCTACCACTTTGAACATATTCGGCTCGATGTGTTTACTAAGGCAAAGGGGTTTCGGCAGGAATCTTCGAGCCCAGCTGGTAGAAAATCTCTCTTGACGCGTCTCTCGGAATTTGTTGTCCTCAGAATGGCGCCACCCAGAGCACTTCCTGGATTCTTAAAGGATCGACATCTTAGTGGCCCATGGCGTGTTAGAGAGGCTTTGGCTCTGTTGAGTTCATTGTCAATGATCTTCTACGATGACGAGGGTGACAGCTTCTCGCTTCACCCTCTTGTTCATGCCTGGATCCGGGATCGAATGTCCACAAGTGAGAAGGCTCTATGGGCATCCGTGGCGTTGAATATTTTAACAGATTCAATCTATCTTCCCTCAGCGACAGGAGCGGACGACGCAGGGGCGTACCATCGCGATATCCTCCCTCATCTTGACCAAAGTCTGGGTAATTTCGCTCTGTGGGTCAAAACTGGGTCTTCAATGCTCCCAAACAGTCGCAGTAGCTTCGTCATGATCCTGCAACCAACCCTGTTACTTATGGTGCAGGAGCAGGTACAAGACAACGCTAAATGCGGCTACGTCTACCTCAATTGTGGTCGCTTCAACGATGCCACAGAACACCTTTCCGCAGTATGCGAAGCTTTACTACATGTTCTAGGACCGAAAAACGAAAAGACCATGAGAGCTCAGCTCGGCCTGGCTCAAGCGTACTGGGGCTTAGGACACTTGTCTAAGGCTATCAGGCTGCAAAATATGGTCGTAGAAGCTCGAAAAAGTGTTTACGGTGTGGAACATTGTGAAACGTTGCTGGCAATGGATCACCTGGGGCGGTCCTATTGGCTTAATGGCCAGTATCAAGAGGCTTTGCACCTGCAAGAATACGCAGTGCAGAAAATGAAGGTCCAACTTGCACCGGACGATAGCCGTTTACTGGCAGCGTTAGACAATCTGGGTGTTACACTTGGTGCCTGGCACCGATATGACGAGAGTCTGAACCTACATCGAGAGGTTCTCCAGATACGAAAGAAGAACTACGGGTCTTCAGACGCCGACACGATCAGCACCAGAATGTACATGGCGATGGCTCTACTTGATGTTGGGCAACTTCAAGAATCCCAGAGGGAAATGGCAGAAGTCTATCAGCTCAGGCGGGCCCGGCTAGGAAAGGAGCATCCATGGACTCTGTGGGCGTTATGCTATCTTGCAAAGATCAATGTCAAGTTAGGTCTACTCGACGAAGCTGAGGAAATGCTATTGGAAGGAATCGCTGCTGGAAAGCGCAGTCTTACAGACGACCACCTAGGCGTCTTGATGGGCTGCGGGGAGCTCGCACGTGTCTATTCTCGCAAGGGTCGACTAGGGGAAGCTTGTTCCCTATTAAGTGAGACTATTGAACGGCTGAAGCGGTCTCGTGGGGAACACCATCCGGACTACATCTACGCGCTTTGGAAAATGGCACAGCTCCAGAAGAAGCTGGGAAATTTTCAAGAAGGGGCATACCATTGCAAATCAGCTCTTGAACAGGCCAAGCACAGACTTACTCTGGATCATCCACTGAGCAAACTAATTGCGCTGGAGAAGAACAACCTTGAATCCCAGAAGGGTTGACTTGCGAGATGCGGTAGCATCAGCAGCTGATCCATCACCATCGCGACACATTGAATGCGGCGTGGTGCGTCTGTGGAGATCGGTCCCTTCTCTCAGCTCCGCTGTCCCAGCCTCTTCAAGCGCTCGTTCTTTTGCGTCTCAATACCTCCTTGGAGCGGACACGACCGGGTCATCTAGACTGAGTGAGAACGGCGTCTCAGCCGACTACTTAGTCCCACTATAAATGGGGCCCAGGTATCCGTCCCGAGCTCCTAAACGAGTTTCTCTTGTGGGTTGAGACACGATGGTGCTGTTTCTGAACTGATAACTGTCAGGACTATTCGAGCTGCCCTTGCGAATTTCGACGACGATTCCATGGAGCTACTTTGGGCAAATCAGGACGGTAAGGATTTGCTAAAGGATATTTCGTGAACGTAGCGGAGAAACGAGGGTTGAAACGAGGGTTCAAACGGAGGAGCTGATATGTTGACAGGCGGCCAAGTGCCGCCGCCGATCGAGGCCCTAGCCAGCCTCACTCTCTGAATTCAAGGCGGCCAATCTCGCCTTGATTGATGTGTAAATGGCAAGATCGGTTCAGGAGAGATCTTGTGGTTACAGCGTTATTTGTGTATAAACAGGAAGAGTCTCGCTGAGATCGAGACGAGAAAGACACAATCAACCAGTTGTGATAACTGCAAGCCCTGGCAAACCTCTTGTTACGTAACATCGATATAATACAACCCCACAAGAAAGAGCTACTAAGGCAATTATCATGTCCGAATGCCTCGATTTCTCATCTGGAGAAGAATTGGCCGGTGGGGCGCAGGACTATGTTTCATTTTGGAGATGCAGCCTTATACTGAGCGTGTCGGATCTGCGACAGTCCAATCTATAGTTCATCAAACTGCGACTTTCTGGGTTGTTCCTTATCGATGTGTCGTATCTCAAAAAGACTCTGAATGTGAGACAGAACGAGTCTCAGGGTTGCGAGATCGCCACCAAGCTAGCCGCTACCAATGCGATCAACGGCACAAAAGAGGGGACGTCGACAGCACCAACGGCGCCATTTATATCAAGTCATTTGGGCTGGATGGCGTCGTTCTGGATGACTTCGACATGGAGGCGTTAGGAATGCTTCTGTAGGCACAAGCCAAATGTCTACATAAACAGGAAAGGACTCGCTGAAAGGACAGATAGACAGACATCTCTCATGTTCTCTTTCAAGTTTGACAGTTCTCAGAGTCACAAGATCAATATTACATACGTGCAACAAGCTTTTGGGCTTGCAATACTCATCGATAAATCTGAAGGCATCTGCTGAACAATCAGACCTGAAGGGATAGCATCAGGCGCGATCGCGTCTTTAAGTGGAGGAGATTGACAAGGGGGGCTCGATTTCATCAATTAAAGAAACATGTTGGGCAAAACAGGTCAGCTCGTCCATCATGTATAGCCTGGTTTGCTGGCGCAACACAGACATCATACGCCGACCTGAAAACTGTTGGAAAGAATGAGACAGGTGGACAAACACCATCACCCAGACAGCTGCCAGGGTCTTGCATCAGTCGTTGAGAAATCAGAGGGGGTTAAAGTTGTGAAGGTCTCGAATTTATCACCAGTATATTTCTGTATTGTGGTTAAACCTGGAGATGAGGGGGTCTCTCGCCCTTTCTGTTGGTTGATGAGAAAGGCATTTGGCGAGTTTGGGTATATTCTTGTGACGTAAACCAGCATGCAGAGATATAAAGAGGCAAATTGAGCTCGGGGCAGCAGCTAGAGCTTGTGGCCCTGGGTCGCTTGCTCGCCTGTACTCGAGTATTCAGGGTGAGGAGTAAACTAACATTCATACGCCGTTCCACATCTCACCGATCCCATCTCTCCTCAATATAGTCATCACCAAAAGGATTTGGTAATATAGAAAACTTGAGATGTCGTCCAAACTTTCATAGTGTAATGGGAGAAGTTTGAAGTGGTGGATAGCTTTATGATTGGCTGGGGCGTCGACACTAGACTAGGGTTCTTCTTATATAGTCCTCGGGGGCTATCATTTCATAGAATCAATCAATTCAATCAAGTTACGAACAGAGAGAACTTCCTTTGGTTGAGTGTGCGTGCTGTGAAGAGGCTATGCCCACCGCCGTACGAGTTGATGCCCATGGCTAGTAGCCGCGTCCCAGTTCAATAGGTTGCACCAGCAGCTTCAAGAAAAGAAGCATCTGCAAGAGCAAACCGAAGAGCGCATCATTTCGGAACAACGCCTACGAGGAGAAGAGCGAGAATTTTGCGAGAGGAGAACGGGGAAGACGAGTCGGGCCGACTTCCTCGATGCCATGTGCACCTTTACCAGAGACTGATCGTCCAAGACAAGACACAGCCAACCCAAGGGGACTGCCGCACATACTGGACGACATTCCTTGCCTGGATTTTGCGACATGTCAGCCTCGCGTGTGAGATGTCGTGATCCATGGAGTCGGAATTCATAGCAGAAGACCCTCTTTACATCCATGCATACATTGGAAGAGGACTAGTTCCTAGGCAAGTAGTTCTCAGCATCAACGGCGGGACACAAGTTCCATTTACTCCATCTATGTGCGGGCTCTCCGCTTGGGCTGCCACTTAGCGGAAGGATTGAAGCGTTGAAGCATTGAAGAGGAAAGAAAAACCATACTCATCTTGATCCCAGCAGCCGGCAAAGAGGATTATTCCAAACCTTGATGAGGACCTATTTCAGCACCCCCCGGATCCCAAAAAGAGTCCCAGCGGATTCTTTGATTCACCCGTCCACCTAGGCTCAAAAGCCCAAAAGTATGACGGAGACCGAATTAATAGGGCGGAGCCAGTTTGCAACGCAGCGGCCTTTAGCCAAATATCCATGCTGTTAACCCACCCCGCCTTTGGGGGGGTGCGGGGGGGGGGCATTTGAATTTCGCGGAAAGCTTAACATGGTGTTGAGATTACGAGTATTACCTACATACATAGGTTGACAAGTCTGATTACAGGGCCGTGTCCACCCTCAATGCCTCTATGACCACCAAGCCTTATTGGCGTTAGGCTGTCACCGCCGTCATTGCACGATCGAACAACATATGGTAATAACAAAGCCTGTGCGGAGCATTAATACGACACAGACTACCAAGCACTCAAGTCAGTCGCTTATGCCCCTTGACACAATCAAAGCTGGAACACATCTTGCATCACCCTTTTGATTACATCCACGCCCTTCACGCTTGCTTTTGTTGTCCACTAGCAATCTGCAAGAATGGAGCAGGACCCGGTGCTCCCATTACCTATCTACAAAGTCCCCTTTCTCGGTGCTGGCATCTCAGGCGTTGTCGATGTATTCTGGAATTCCCTTGTCGTAAAAGCTCCCCGCGGCTCCGGAGAAGCTCGCCGAGACCTTGCAGCCGAGCTCGAGATCTACCGTCGCGTCGGAGCTCATCCTTCCATCCCAAGACTACACTGTGTTCGAAATGGAATGTTGATTCTAGAGCGCCATCAGTCTTCTCTTCGCGAGCGAGCCAAAAAACTATGTCAAGCAGGCCACAGATCTTCACCTAGTCAAATCATATGCACCGGAGACTATGGGTTATGGCACAAGAGAATACCCTGATTCCTACAACTTTTGCTTTCGGTTGTACTGAAAAGATGATAATTACTGAACCACTCGTTCCTGTGGATTTCTGTCCCCGTCAAACCTCACACCAAAGATGGCAACCATGTCTAATGTGTCGCTCGCTGTACAAGGTTATGCCACAATCGAGGTGGACATTCACAGATTGAGTACGGCCTGGCGTTCGCTTTCGGAAGTTGTCGCTTTTCCTGCCTTTACGTCTGTTCGTCCCTTAACAGAGTCTGGATTAGCACATTGAATTGATTACATCCATTTTTCACCATTGACTGTCCCAGGTGAGGTTCGTCGTCTTCCAGTTCCTGGCATAACTCCCTCTGGAAGATTTTTCTCATTTTGTCCAGCGTCTTGACTTCGTTGATCAAGTTTGCTGGCGCAATCCACCTCCCTGGTCCACACACCACCCGGTTATGGGCGATGCTCATCCCCACCATGCCGTGGTCCGTCCCGGTCGTAGGAGAGAGGATGGACCAATCTTTTGTCCCCAACACAAACTCTTCTCGGAGGTAGATCCGGTCAATGGGGCTTTGAGAGCCATCCTCTCTCCCCGTCATTCTGTTGGCATGCGAAGTCGATCTTTCGCCTGGTCAGTCCCAGCCCCGATGTCTCCACCATAGCTTATTTGTCTCCAATTAGGCGTGTCTAGCCTGCTACTCCCTTCTCCCCGATGACAAGACCCACTAGTCAATCTCAACCTCTCCTCTCCAGTGTCGTCTAGCCTCTTAAGTCCCCCCTACCTCTAGAAGCTTCCTCGACGGAATCAGTGGCGGAGGCTTTGTCCTTGGGGAGAGGGTCTTGGCCGTGACTTTGCCTTCCTTGCGTCTCTTCTTTTTCGAGACGACCAAGGCCCAATGCTGACAAGGATTATTTGCCTTATGCCCTTCGACAGTGCCGCATGCAGTGCAACTCTCTTCGGGTTCCACATCTGCCCTCCAAAGCTGTCCCTCCGAGCCACCAGATCCCGCGAAGTGGAGGTATTTGATAGACCGCCTTTGGTGCGTGGTGGAATGCTGCGCAGTATTTGTCGATTCTCGTCAACCTCATTGTTCGCTGAAAACGTTTGAAATCGTCCTCCGGGAAGGCTGCGACCAAGGCCGAGACCACATTAGCCGCTGGAGCCAAAGACACCTTCTTGATGTGAAATACAGTGTGCAGAGGCAAGACGTGTCGCCAGGCGTTGATCCAAACACCGGGGGCTACCTCAGCCTTCCAGTCAGCACCTTGGATACCTGCTCGGATGTCTCGAAACGCACTGCCAGGTCCTCCCCGAAGGAAGAGACCTCAAGGGGAGCCGGGATGGGGTTGTCATCGACGGATGTGCGTTCCATGCCCTCAGGAAGTCCAGCTGATCCAACGAGTCATACTTCTTGGTAGGCTTGAAAGCAATCAAGAAATGACCGTTAGCTAGGATACGGATGAAGGATGAAATGGTTTTGCCTGCGCTGGTTGTTCGGCCTTGGTCTCTGTGTCTTTGCTCCCATCCTTGACCTCCATCCTCTCTCCCCGTCATCGCCGTGTTCTGGTGGTGTAGAAGATCGTGATTGGGTGTACCAAACACCAGCCGTCCACCATCACTGTTTCATTGGCCGCCAGTGCCTCGAGGACACGCCGTTCTGCGTCCAAGTCGTCCCAGTGTCTAACCATATTCTAGTCCCCATAGACGATGTCGCATTCTGGCTCGATTTCCATAGACCCCAACTCTTCCTCCATCTCCCTGGAGAAGTAAGTTCGTCTTGCCTCAGTTGGGGGCCTGTACAAACACCCGATCGTCCATTCGTCCTCTTTCAGGGCAGATCTGGACCATTAATATCTTCTCGGCTATGCTTTGCAAAGTATGTGTTGAGGTTGAGGTGCTCACATTCGTCGTGACCTTGAGATTAAGTTGTTCTTTGTCGAGGAGGATGGTGCTAGAAATGCATACCAAACCCCTCCATTTTGTGTCCACCTCCGTATATATATAAGCGGTCGACCTCGCCTCCTACAGACACTCCACAAGTCAATCCTCTCAATCCTGGGTGGATGGCTACTCCCGCTACTTCACAGTCGGCCATTACGCCTGCGATGATGTGTACATTAGGCCAGTTGTCCCTGAGTTCGTCCGCTTTGGTTCTGTTGATGTACGTGTCTAACAGCGCCAAACCGCTCAGTGATCCGTCCTCACGGGATCAAGGATGTGTGCCCTCTTTCTCTCTTGTTCTTGCGCCATTCGCCTTTAGCGAGGCCGCCTGAAAGCTGCGCCCCTTGTCGTGATTCGGTCGTCTTGTGGTCTTTTCATGTTGGTGATTTGATTTGTGGGGGAGTGTCCTGCTGTTGTCCCTTGGGCTGGGTTTCAATGTTGTCTGAATCGTGTGGCTGCACGGAAAATTTACGCAAGCAAGAAGAGTAAGAAATGACGGGGACTTTGAGGTCTGCACCTGCTATTTGTGCTTGCTCTGCTGTTTGTTTGCTTTCTTTGTCATTTTCCACTTCACGGTTGGCGGCCGCGCGTCGTGTCACCATCACTCGAGCAAGACGATTATGACCATCGCTTCTCTTCAAGAAGCCAAAGGCCTGTCAATCTCGAATATCGCGGTACATACCTTCCCGCCTGTTCATGCAAAGCGGTGACTCCAGCTAGGTCTCAAGAGTGTCAGGTTGTTTACAATTGGAACAGTGACTTAGAGGATGTGCTTTTATGGGTGGATCTGAAACTGGATGCTCGAGGCCGTTGATCCTTCAGTCGACAGCTTGTTGATGGTATCAGAGAAGGAACGGATGGGTTGTGCAAAAGCTTCTTGTCTAGGCGATGGACATCCTGTGTAATGGGGTTGTGCGTCTGTTGGTCGGTCAGGTCCGTTCCCTTTGGCGGTGATGGTCATGTGCCTGGAGCCATCGTTAAAAGGGGCAAGCCCGGCGATAAAGATTGAAGTGAAGCCCTTCTGCCCACGGAGGGCGTCGCAGTGTTAGAGAGTATCAATACTTCGTGATTTTGGCGTGGCTGGTCACTCAGGTGAAACAGATACAGACCCCCCGTTTCTGCCATGCAATAGCTGCTCCGTGGCTGTCATCTTAGCATCTCATGTCCTACATCTCTTTCATTGGCCATTCAAGCGCTGGATGCCATTCCGGCCCCAGTAATCTCGCAACGAGATCGATTGTCTGCTGCGCCCATTCAGCGAGAAACCATTTCTGGGATCTGCAACCGATTCCTGCGGACCAGTGGCAGAATATCACCAGGGAGACGGGGTCATATTGCTTCAGAAGCGACATGTATTCGGCCGGAATCGATGATGGCCAATATACCAGGTGTAGCCATGTCGAGGGAGATCCAGATGTGATGGCAAACCAACTATGAAGGAAACGGATAGCCTCAGCGCGTGCAACCCAAGTTTGGAGAGGAGCATTCGAGCGACTGTTCAAGGTCTCAAGGCGCTCTATCGCTTGCTGGTGGCTGCTGTCGAGAGGTGTGGGTTGAAAGTGTCGCCTCTGGAGGAAAAGGTTGCTCACCCGGCTTTGAGCCAAGTGAGGATGAAGTTGGCCGATCAAGGACCACGCACCCCGCAAGGCCGAAAGCGCATGAACAAGCTGCCCAAGAGCTTCTTCTAGAGTCCTGTCGGCGGATGCCCTGACGGCACCAAGCTGAAAGACGGATATCAGCAAGGAGAAGGCCAGCACTGCGATGCAGTTGTCCTGCGTTATTTCAGCCACGTTGGATCGGAATTGAACCGTTGCTTCTCTATGGTTCTGCCATGCCGCCAGATGATATTCGCTCCGATTCGGTGGCTGCAGGAAACATATATGCAGCGCAGACGTCGCTAGCAAGGCATGGCGCAGAAAGGCATTGTTCTCGGCGTGCAGGGGGACCTCGATCTCCCATGTCCAGCGAGTTTCACTGAACCATGCCAAAGTGGTGGAGGTTGTTGAGACGAAATTCGACAACAAGAGAACGGGTTCCACATATTGACTCATTGGAGCGGGTGGATTCAACAAGCATGTTGCATGATTTGATCGGCTTTGGACAGGCCCCAGCGTGTGAGAGGTGGGCAGCGGACTATTCAAGTGCTCGAAGTCGCATTCCTCGCCGCGTCTGTCGCAGTGTTTGCATCGTGGCGCCTGCAAGTCGCACTGTTATTGGAACGCGAGTCAGTCAGCATCGTCCAGGCGCAAATCAAGGGGGCGCTGAATGGCCTACCCTGACGCGCCTCCTTTTGCAGTTGTTACACCCATTGCGGGTCTTGGTATGATAGTTTCTCGAACCGGCCATCTCGCAACAAGTGTCAAAGAAAGATTCAACATCACAAATGGCCGAGAGGGTTTAGTGAACGAAGAGAGGAGGACACAGCTGAGGCAGCTGGACTCGTTCATCGCCTTGATCCCTTTTTCCTGTCGGCTGACCCCTGATGGCTGTGTGGCTGAATGAAGATTCCCAACGGTCCTGCGAAAGAGCTTTGTAACAGCACTCCTGTGCCGCAATGCTGCCACCTAGCTTTCGACGCGTCGATCGTCGAGGCGAAGTTGGCTGCAATTTCTAGTGGTCAGATTTGCATTTGCGAACGGAGAACTGCCGTCGCGCTATTCGCCCATTTAGTTTAGTGTACGAAGTGCCAAGACATTGATCCTTGACGAGGCTGAACCGCCTGAGCAATTTCGCCTTGTTCCTGCTCAGTACTTTGGGGGGCCAAAGACGACCAACACTAACAAACTCTGGCACTTTTCAAACACCAAATAGCCTGGCCTCGATCAAACCACTCTCCGTTTCCACAGTGGAAATGTGTCGGGAACCAACTGGACTCAGCGATGCAGTCTGCTCAGGAGAGACACTGCCATCAGGGGAGTTGATTTAAGGAGGCTCCAATTCCCAGAGATGTAGGTCTCATCCATCCAGTATTGACGACCTCTTCTTCACTTTGCCTTGCCCCAGTGACGATGCTTCGTGTTTTGTCTTTTTTGTGCACCTTTGCACTGTTCGCGGCAGCTCAAGGCGCACAATTCAATGAATACTCAGTCAAACGGGTGGCGACCTTGCCGAATTTCCTTGTCGAAAATCTGGCTGTGAGAGCCAACGGCCAAATCCTTGTTACAACCTCAGCTCCTGCGGCGACATTATGGCAGATCGACCCCCTTTCAACCAGCAATGCCACTCTCGTCACGCGATTTCCGAGCGTATCTGGTTCTTATGGTATCACTGAACTTCAACCGGATGTGTTCTATGTGACAACCGGCAACTTCTCCATCCAAACAAGGCAGCCTGTCCCAGAGTCATTCACGCTCTTTAAAGTCGACATGGCCGACTTTCATCAGCTTCCCACCGGAAGGGTAACCAGCCTTCCGAACCCGCGCAAGGTCGCTACACTTACGGATGCCATTGTCCTCAACGGACTCACGCAAATCGATGGACAGGACGGATTTGTTTTAGCAGCTGATTCCTACGCCGGCGTGATTTGGAAAGTCGACGTCACCACGGGAAGCGTCGTGACGGCGATAAAGGATGATTCGATGAACCCCAGTCCCTCTGGAGCAGCAGGAATCAATGGCTTGAAGTATCAAAGTGGTTTTCTCTACTATACCAACACCGGGACAAACCTGTATTATCGCGTCGCGGTCCATGTCAACGGTACCGCGTCTGCGAATCCCGAGGTCATCGCGCAGATCTCGAAACCGGACGACCTCGTCCTGGACAACGCTGGAACGGCCTACATCTGCCAGCAGGTCAACGCTGTGAGCCGAGTCGCCAGCAATGGGACGGAGCAGATCATTGCAGGTAGCGCGAACAGCAATGACAGTTCGCTTCTAGGGCCGACCGCAGTGGCTTGGGGAAGGCTTCTATCAGACAAGAACAAGCTGTATGTGACCACCAACGGAGGACAGTCGGCTGCTTCAAGTCCGGTATCAGGATCTCAGGGACTCTCCATGATCGGGCCTGTTGAGCAGGAATCCACAGGCGAGAGCAACTCTTCGGCTTCAGCTACAGTTTCGTCAACACCGGGGGTTGCTACACGCACCCAGTCTACAGGAGGGGTTCCTACACTTTTTGATCAACAAGTGCGCTGGTATCTTCCAATGGTTTTCCCGTTGGTTCTTCTTTCTGTGCTCTCCGCCGAGCTCTCTGGCTGGTAGATAGCTTTGCTTTTTTTTTTTTAATTGCGGCGGAGCCAAGTAATAACCCAAGAAATAAGCCCTTGTTCTGTTCCACACCCACACTTGCATGCAATATTGATCAACGCCTCGCAGAAATCCGTAGGAACCAGCTACCACGATGACGGTTTCCAGCAGCAAGAACGCCATCCAAGGCAGGAGGAACAGCTGAGTCGGTGTTGAACACCTGGCCTCGCTACGTTCTTGCTACATCCACGCCAGATACGATGTTGGCATCACTCCTACCGCTTCCGGCAGCAGTCCTTTTCAGGGACATGAACATGAGCATGAATACGAACGTTGCCTCCTTCCCTTACAGCCGTGCGTGCTTGCTTGCCGTCGAATCTGTTGGGGTACACAGCAAGAGTGTCGGGAATACACTCCTCGGGGCGGCGGCGTCGCACTGCCTGGCCGTTTATGCAAACACCAACCTCCCTTCCCCAGTTGAACGTCACGGGTACAAAGTGAGGAGTGCTGACGGGTTGAATTGGCGTTCCACTGCCAGATCGACGTTTATTCCGCGGCATGATCTCCCAGGGCGTCGTGTACTTCGGTGACAGAAGCGTGCATGGAGCGCATGACGTGACAGCGTCCGCTCTTCGTTTTGCTCCCACAGAAACACACTAGCTAGGAAGAAGCTCGTGCAGAATTCCTTCTCTTTTTATTTTCCGACTTCGCATCTCCGAGTCATCGCCTCTTCTGGCGAGTGATTCGTCCCTCTGGCAATCAGGTCTTTCGCAAAGGTTGTCTGGATTGTCCAATGTCCAAGCATGGAAATGAGGGAGGTATGTGAGCAGCATAACTGCATATATCTGTATTAGGACCAAGGCATTCTAGAACTGGTACGGACAAGGGGAATTTGACTGTCTAATGAAAACATAGCGTTGCGATGGCCAGAAAGTGGTGTTGTCGCAATGTGTTGTCTGCCCGGTGCTCTGAATGTCAAAGTGAAGTAATTCAAATAAGCGCGGGTAAACGGCGGGAGTGTTAGGACATTGCTCCCTACTGCCGCCTGGTCCACAACTTCCTCATCATTCAGATCTAAGCAGAAAAGCACAGCTCGCGATCAAGATATATTGAATCAGATGACTCTGGCCTCATTCCTCTGCGGCCGTCATAAGTAAAAAATCTACTTCGTATGTGGAAGCTCTGGGACCAGTGGTGTAAACGATGGAGGCATCGAAGCGAACAACACTCGCATAGATGTTAGACTACTTGGCGCCGGGATTGTTTAGGCGGTTACCTGGATGGGAAAGCACTGAGCCCCGAGCCTTTGTGTGTCAAACTTGGAACGCGGAATGAAAGTAAACGGAGGTAGAAAGTGTTAAACTAAAAAGGTTGGGAAGTCACGTGATCCAGCCCAGCCACCCAGTACTGTCTATATAGTCTACCGTAGTCCCCGTACTGCATAACGGGGGACAACCTTTGATACTCAACACCATGCTCTAGTGCTCTCAATTCCTCCTGCGCGGCCTCCAGTTCTCCTTTCATTGTCCAGCTTGAATAGGTTTGAATTCTCGTCGAGCAGGATGGCGCGGAGGCCAAAGACTCTCTCGGCGGCATCGGCTAGCTTTTTGCACGTCGTTTCTGCTCGAATTATCAAGCATGTAAGAACTCTGTTCGCCTCGGCTTTACTACGAAATGTTGCCTCACACAACTTGTCCCCTATTGAGCTGTTCGTTTGCTTTACAGCCGCTCCATCCTTAGACAAGCGCTAATCTATGCTCCCGGAACCTGTGAAAGAACGTGTGTGAGAGTACGTCGTTGACATCGGGGTCAATCGTCACTGTCCCTGAACCGCAAACTGGCTGCAAAGACAATATTTTTTAACCTCGACTCCAAGAACAGGTGCCTCGCCATGGACTCGAACCTTGATACCATGAGTATGAGCAGCCTCAGCCAGAGAAGTGAGCACAACTCCCCCCCTTCTCCAACTTCTCATGATCCTGCTCGTGAGGCGACCGGCCTACCCTTGGGTGCGGAATACGATGGGCCCGACTCACGACCTACTCCCTCCCTTAGCACGATAGACTCCTACCCGCCTCCATACCCTTCATAGTCTTGCGAGTCCAGTGGCTGCCCGCTGCTGGGTAAAGAATCAAGAATTCCAATATGGACACATAAATTGCTCCATTTCTCAAAGCGACGAGCTCCCCACCTCCTCCTAAACTTCTCATAATATCTCTGGAACAACCACCTCCGACGACGAGAAACACTTGGGCGCGCCCACGATCTTACCGGAGATGCAATAACCCCGCCACTATTGGTTTGATGCGCAGTTGCACCGACCTGCGAGATCACCACCCTCGGTTCATCGCCCAGACTCCAAAGACAACCTATCAATGCCTCCCAATAATAATGGTGAAGATGTTACCCCCTTGAGTCCGGAACGCTGCGTACATTTAACACGGCCCATCAACCAGATCTATACCATTGAGAAGGGCGGTCTCGTCTGATGCAGACTCCCGCTGCCGATTACTGGCTGTCACCATGCCCAGATAGTCTCAAAGCCCACCAAGGGAACTGGCCAGTAGCGACACTAAGGTGACCACCTAGGAAGGAAGGGGCAAGGCAACGACCGCTTTCCCTTGCTCTAGACCATCGTGGATTCTCTAGCAAGACGATCGCAGCCATATATGCAGGGCTGTTTTTTTTCTTCTCACACTCAGCAATCGTTCTCCGACCATTCCGACCCTATCTTCCGCCGTCCACCATGGAAACACGCTCAAGAAGCCCAGTGGCAGGATGCCTGGGTGTGCACGAGGGTCTACCCCGACAAGGTCTGTGAACGGCGAGTGCCGTTCAACAGTCTCAGGTCCAATGCTTTCCAACGG